GTTGGAAACATATCAGGGTCCATCCGCCCATACAGTCCAGGGCCAATGCTTTAAGACCCCACACCCATGGCAATTCTGAACCCAAACATCTCCACACCAATTTTATTAGCAACTTTCCCTGGATAACCTTCTTCAAAATATTAAATCTCACCTCCCAACCTGATGAAAAGCATCCATTCTATCTTCACAGGCAGATTGAAAGAGTCAAATGTCCTGCATGCCTCCTGATTTTGCAAGTTGGATTCTGTCTTTAACTCATTTTAATATGAGGTCTTAGCAAACAAGTCTATAACCTGATCTCATTGATATAATTAATTAACATTCTGTTTGTCAAATCTAATTGATCATTTTTCATTTATCTTCCTGCACAACCAATCGTAACCTGAGTTCTCTATATCCATTTAGACCTTCTTAATATAGTGTTGTCAATTACTTTGTCCTAGCATGTCAGCTCAGAATCTGTACCATATCACTCGATGTTTCTTCAAACTCTACAAGCTACTTAAATGTTAAAAATTCTCAGCTATTAGTCCAATTAACTAAACTCACAACACTCTAGCACAAAAAACATCATAAATCCATACAATTATATTAGTGTTTAAAATGAATCAGCATGTCTGAGCAATTGATAGCTGTTCTCTCAGGTCAGAGGGTCCAAGTAGACCTAGTTTAAATTATTTTAGTGAGTCTAACCAATATGGCTCTACCAGTCTCCGTGCTGGCTGTGTTAATATCAGGCCTCTTCCAGCTGAGGGATGGAACATGACCAGGGCAGCATCCCAACAAGCCTGACCTAACTCCTCTGGTTAATTGGCTGAGCTGATAGTAACATATATTATACTAGTCTGTCAACATAACCCCATCCTGCAGGAACACCTACTGTCCATATGGAAAGAAGTTGATTTCTTCAGAACACATCTACTCTTGAGTGGCTGCAATTTGTGCCAATCAGAATTACACAGTATTCTAATGTGAGATTGCTTTTCCTGTCACAGTTCTTCTTTCAGAATCCCTGCCCAGGTTCTGATATCTGCATCTCTGACATAAGACCTTCCATGATGTTATTTAAGACCAAGGAATAGGTTTGTTGTTAAGGGATGGGGGATGTGACTGTGTAAATGTGGGCACAGGATCCAATCGCCTACATTTTTCAGATTTTTCCAGAAACAGATAGCAGGATAGAAAAATAGAAGGGCTGATTCAGTCTCTGCAAATAGTTCTGAGTGAGTATGACCCACACATTTTATGAAATTGTCTTCATGGAGGCAACATAATTCCTAAACCAAAGTCTGCTGCAGGCATTTCTTGGTCACAAATACTGGCTGCATTTACCTCAAAATAATGGGCATTATAGTGTTCTGTGGCACATGGGTCTGGAAATCAGGGGTAGAAGTGAGATTAATTCCTATCACCATGTCCATGGTGAAAACCTGTGAAATTTTTTCTTCTTATTTCCATATTATAGGCTGTGATAGATTAGAAGTCCTGATTCCCAGGTAGGAACACTCCTACTTGGGCACAATGTGCTCCCCTGTATCAGTGACCTGGTCTGATGCCCCTTAATTGATGTCCTCATGCCTGTGGACCAGTGAACAAAGGAAAGGTGCTCTCCCACTGATAGACATTAACTCTCCTTTTGAGGCTAAGCTTGAATGTCTTCACAGAGGCAGGGCCATTCCCTCAGGCCTAGAGAGTTTCTGTCGGTTCCTCCACTGCATTCAACACTGGGGGGTCAATTGCATCAACCACACGTCTGAAAGTGTCCAAGTGACCAAGGACAATGGCCCCATAGTGTTGATGCTTGAGTCCACTAGGGAAGCAACACAGAGCAACCCTCACTGTAAAGTGCTGGCCACGTGTTAGAAGAGTCCACAGTGTAGGTGAGAGGGGATGCTAGTGAATATCAGGTACAACCAGAGAACTCTCTGCAGCAGTGGACAAGGGAGGCTGACCACTCACACTCACATAGACACTTCCACAAAGATAGGTCTGGCTACTGTCCCAAGCCTTTCATAGCCCTTTGAACTAATCATGGACCGGGGTTGAACTCCTTTGTCACAGGGAAATGTAAGGACAAACTATAATGGATTCTTGGTGGCCCAACTCATGTGCCCTGGGCCCAACACAGAAGTAGCAGCAGTTGCATTTGACAAGTTGTGTGAACCCGATTGCCCTCAGCTGAGTGACCCTCACTTCAAAGGTGAGGTGCTGTTGAGGACAGAAGAGACACTGAGGCCCAAATGTTAATGCAACCTTCAAGTTTAGGTAACAATACAATGCAGCACAATCTCATCATGCTCTCATTACATAAAGGGGTTTCCACGAATCCCGTGAGGCATGTCCACATCTGCCCTGGGGTTGAATCACAGAAAA